TTGCAATCCACCTCATTTGTGGCTAAAACTAGCATATCATCTACATATTGTAGAAGCATAACCCGGGGGAAGTTGAGGAGGTACTCACTCAGGTTGGCATGTAAAGCTTCATCAAAGATTGTTGGAAAATTCTTAAATCTTTGTGATAAAAAAATCTATGTCAATTGTCCATAAAACAGGTATCTAGATTTATCTATTGAAAGGCAAAGGGATGGCTGGGGAGAGAGGGGCAGGGGAATGCTAGAGTGCATCTTTCAAATTCAGGACTATATGTATATATCTTATTTTCTGGTGAAAAATATACTGAGGATGGTATATAGGTTGGGCATATGGGATGAATATCTTCTGTCTGTTGACCTTTCTTAGATCCTGAACTTGTCTAAAATCCTTAGTTCCTGACTTCTGCACAGGCAACAAGGGAGTATTCCATGGGGACAAGGAACCAGGATTCCTGAATCCCACAACTGGACAATAATGAACAATTATTGGGGTCTGGTGTTTTTCTAGCCATGAGTTGGTTTCAGCTCATACCTGGGGGCTATTTCTGCTGAAGCTCTTGTCTTGCAGCATGAATGAGCTGGGCACTTGATTAATGTCTGGGTTCATTGAGGAATTATTCCTTTCCTGGGGCAGGGTTTCAAATATGTTTGATCCCTGAGCCACAGGTTTCCCTTCCTGTGGGAACTTATCAGATACTCCTTTGTCTTGAATGACTTGGATCCCCAATTTATGCAATAAGTGACAGCTAAAGAGATGGTACGGACATAACAATAAAGGAATGGGTCATAGTACCTTTCCTGAGGTCTACTTGTGATACTGCAGTCCAGGGATAAGGCTTGGTCCCAATAGCCTATGAACCAAGGTCTTCCTGTTGGTCAGAAGTTCTTCTGGGTGTTGCAGAACTGATAATTGCGCCCCTGTACTGATTAAAAGTACATCAGCTTTCCCTCCACTTTGAAAGTTATCCTGGGCTCCAGAAGGGATTCCAAGGCTGGACATCTTCAGTTCTCAGTTGTTCCCAAGGTTGAGGACTTATATTTTGGTTTGTTGTAGAGGGGGCATTCATTTTTCCAATGGCCCATTTCCTTACTATATGCACATTGATTCTTCTGGAGTGATTGATTCTTCTTGTTCCTGGTAAGTGGTTTGGGCCTGGGGGCTTAGGGCCCTGGGGCCAAGGCCTTTGGTCCTCGTAGGTCATCATCATTGTTTTAATGGTCATTCTTGCTTGTCTATCTTCCTTTAGTAGCTATTTCTAGTAGTTTGGAGAGGTTCTCTTCCCTAATTCTTTAAGTCTCTGTAGCTTCTTTCTACTGTCTAGAGCTAATTGGGATACAAAGACAATGTTAATCAACCTCCACTTTTCTTCTGTCTCTGGGTCAATGGAAAAAATAACAACAATAAGTTTTCATCAGTTGTTTTAAGAATGCTGATGCTGACTAGCTGATCTTGGAGAGATGGCTCAGTTTGTAAAGAGCACTGGCTCCATATGACCTGAGTGCAATTCCCAGCACCTACATGGTGGCTAACATCCATCTGCAATTCTAGTACCAAAAAATATAAGCCCTCTTCTAGCCTCCAAGCACATACATGGTGTACAAACACACATGCAGGCAAAACATTCAAACACATAAAATAAAAAATAAATTAAAAAAAGAAAGAAACTAATAGAGTATTCAAAATCTAACCGATGGGCTAAGGAACAACTTGACTAGTAAACTGCTTGTCCTGTATGCCACAAAGACCTCAGCTCACCCTAAGTACCATATGAACATGGCAGTACACTTGTAATCCTAGAATAGGGAAAGTGAAGACAGGTGGGTCAAACTGGACTCACTAGCCAAGTGACGAATACATTCACTGTCCCCATGAAAGAATCTATCTCAAAAACTTAGGTTGACAACTTCTGAGAAACCATCCAAGGTTGACTTTCCCCTTCTACATTCATGGGCATGTATAGGTGTTTTTCTGTATGTACCTGCAGTGTGTGTGTGTGTGTGTGTGTGTGTGTGTGTGTGTGTGTGTGTGTGGAGAGAGAGAGAGAGAGAGAGAGAGAATGGAGACAGAGAGAGGGGGGAGGGAGGGGAAGGGAGGGAGAGAAAAGAAGAAAAGTGAAAGAATGGATAGATAAATGGAACGTGTTCTAACACTGTAGAAACCATAAAAACAAAATCTATGAATTATGGGCATGGAGTATCTTGTGTGAAAGGCAAAAATAAATAAATAAATAAATAAATAAATAAATAAATAAATAAAATAAAAAATAAAGTAAATAAATAAATAAATTCAACATCAAGGAAAAATATTTTCAATACTAGAAAACTTCTGAATTCTGGGGAAAGAGGCCAAGTCAGGAATAAGAGGCATTTTAGCACACCAAACAGAAAGGATCACATAAGAACATTCTTATGGTATATTATAGTACATACACTACACACACACACACACACACACACACGAGAAGAAAGTATAATGAAAGTTTCAAGAGAAAACATTAAGCCATGTATAAAGGCAGGAGGAACATTTCTAAGTACAGAAATGCTTTGAAAGCATTGATGGAGCAAAGAATATTACAATTCCTATAAGTACTATGTATAGGCAGGAATCTTAACAAGCTGTATCAGCAGTAGGGTAACTTTGTTATGCATATTAAGACACAGGACTGAGGCTGAGCTGTCCTGCCCACAACATGCACATGTTAAAAGGGAATTGGATTACAATGGGGAAAAGACACTATCCTCTAAAGTAGCCTATTACTTCACAGACGAAATGGAAAAGTGAATAGGTGTTGATTTGAAATTTGTTAATACCTACCAGGATGCAAAGAATAAATAGTACAGTTCAATAAATGCAAAGAACCCTTCTTAAGATCCCAAACCTTGGGATTCAAAGGAAGACTCACATGAAAAGGAAGGTGGAAATGACAAAAGAAATATTCTGTCTGCTTTTTAATACACAAAAAGGGAAAAACCATGATTCAGCAGGATAGGTTTTACTTTTTTTTTTTTAAAGTGTGTGTGTATATATGTGTGCGTGTGTGTGTGTGTGTGTGTGTGTGTTCAAGGAGGCTAGAAGAGGGTGTCAGAGCCACTGATCCTAAAGTTAAGGGCAGCTGTAAACTGGCATGGCTGCTGGGTACCATACCCATCCTCTAGACAAAAAACACACTGAACCATTTCTCCAGTTCTCAAGATGGGTGTTACTGTGGTCCAATTTTGGGAGACTGTGATATTCAGAGAATGCACTGTATCTAAATAGTTTAAATTGGGGAGAACTTTACACAATAAGTGAAAGAGCCTTTCACATTCTGGGACAGGATCAGATTAAACAAACCTGGAGTAGAGAAACTGAAATATAACTACCCACTCTCCCTTGAGACAAAGACTACATAATCGTTAGGAACACAGGGAACATAAGTCTCTCATGAACTGACTTATATAAACCATTAGTATGATAAGACTTTCTTTTAAATTGTTTATTTAGTATGCATGTACATGTACCTTGGAGTGATGTTATGGTGCAAGTGATGTCACTGTGTTGATTTCTGTGCCTGCAGAAATCTGATTACAGGCCAAACTTTGCTATTGTCATTATGAAGCATATCCTGCCTTACTATTTTGCAAACTTTATTCTCCATCACCCTCTGACTGGTCAAAGAGCTAAATGGCCAATAGCTGGGCTGGAGAATTAAGGCAGGACTTCTGGATTGAAAGGAAGGATTTCAGGTAGAAACTTGAAATAGAAGTCTCCGGTCAGACACAGATGAAGAAACAAGGTGCCAGAATGAGACGAGGAGGGGCAGGTTACAGACCATGTGGCTGGGAGGTAGGCCAGGCCAGTTAAAATAACTCAGAATCTGCCCAGCTATAGTACCTACGTTAACGATTAATGTCTCCTTGTCATTATTCAGGAGCTAGGGCAGACACAGAAAACCCATCAATGGCTACACATATATATTCGTCATGACTGAGTATGAAGGTCACAAGACAACTTTAAGTAGTCTGTTCAGTGTACCATGTGGATCACAGATCAAACTTTGGTGGTCATAAGGTCTGATTGCAGGGGTTTTTATTTATCTTAGTTTTTTCAACATGGTAACACCCTAAGAAGAGATCAAGAGTCTATGAATGAGTTAGCCTGAGTATTACTGTGAGAACTTATAAATCCAAGCCTGTAGCCAGTGACTATTCACACCTCTAAATCTGAATTTGCCACCTCAGAACACAAAGTTTGTGGCTAAGTGAGACTAGACTAAGTTCTGAGCTCACATCTTGGGGAGGAGCTCACATCCCATCTTCTTCTTCATTAGCTTTAATACTAAGAGTGCTTAAAAGAAAAAAAAAGTACAAAGTGGGCAGGCAAAATGCTAGATTTCCTCAGTTGCCACCTCTGTTGCATATGTCAATGCTCAGTCTACTTTTCCCACACATTTACAATGGGGGTAATACCTTAAAGCTTGGCCATTTGTGCTCACTAAATGTTAAAACTGATATGGGCAAGGCTTGACCGGATGGAAACAGCAAGTCAGAAAGTATGCGGGGGCCTGGACAGCTCTGAACATGAAAGGGCAACCTCTAAAATGAAGATACTCCTAGGCTGGACTGACTCTTGGAAATCATTGAAGTTACACAAATTTCTTTGTGTGAATGAAAGTGGGTGGAAGGTAAACTTACAGAAGATGCTTTTTTCCTTCCACAGTGTGGCTCCCAGGAATCAAACTCAGGTATTCTGGCCTCCCAGCAAGTGCCTTTAAGCTTTGAGCCATCAATGCAGGTCCAACACCTAGCTTTTGTCAGGGTAGTTCTCAGCTGTCATGCAACAGCTTGAAAAGATGGAATGATAAAGGGCTACTGCTTAGACTCACACCTTCCCTCCTTGGAAGAGTCTGTTATTAGAGAATACAGTGTGGCAGGCAGTTCAAGGGCAGGCATGAACAAATGTCCACTGACTATAAGTCAAATCAGCATCATACCAAAGTAATAATAGCACCAAAGACCAACTTGGAGAACAATGATTTTATTGAGATTTACTTACAGGAGTAGCAATAAGGGATTACTTACAGGAATAAGAGTGACTCAAAGTCAGTTGCATCACCAAAAAGTACACTGAGAAGGGGTGACCACTCAAAAAACTTCAACCCTGTAGCTGCTCCTTATACAACTTTCGGGCAGTCATAATAGTTACAAAATTTAGTTAAGTACTTCATTATTATCTTACGCTTTCTTTTATACACTTATTCATATGAATAAAGTTAGAGCTGAAAAAGAAGAGATTACAATACACAGAAAATGAAATCAAGAGAATGATTTGAGGATACTTTGAAAACTTACATTACTATAAACTGGAAAATCAAGAACTTCAAGACATATATGAAATATCAAAATTAGGCCAAAAGTTGGAGGTTTCATAGGCCTCCCCCTCCAAATATTATAGGCTATTGCGATTGTCCTTGGTTACCACACTGAACTTGACAGTAAGACCTTATTAAAGACACCACACATTGAGTCATAGAGCATTAAGAAATCATAGCTTATACTGACCTAGAGGCTTTGTCCTACTGGCTAGCTTTCATAGCGCTAGATGATGTTGTGCATACTACCAAGGGACAAGACTAAACATCAAGCTTACCCAGCTGAGAAGCCTCTGAACTACAATTACAGATGAGTCCGAGAAGACATGGCCATGAGTATGGCATGAATGTTGGAATAACCAACCAACCACTCTGGCTGGATTTCAGGACCATTTCACACAATCCACAAGATAAAACCCAAGTCTGGCAGCATTAATGTGACAAACTTTCTAATAATCTACTATTACTCTGTTAAAGGGTATCTTTATACCCATAGAAAAATGTATCTTCATGACATAGGATGAGTTTTCTTGCTGTTTTTGAAGTAGATGGTAATTAACAGACTCACCACTGGTCAACATGCAGAGAATAAGAGATTTTGGAGGGCTCAGCTCTAATTGGAACATCTACCTACATCACAGTTCTTCTCTCAAAGGACTGGGGGGATCATTACAGATGAGGGAGCTGAAAGAATGTGAGAGCCAGAGAGTGGATTATTACAGTCAAACAGTGCATTCTAGATACAACAGTTGCACATACTAACTGACAACAGATGTGACTGCATACAGAAGCTCAAGCCAGACATAAATCCCAGCAAGGAGGTGGGAGGTGTGCAGAAAGCCCCACTCCTAAGTAGCTATTGGCAAGTGATGACTGCTGGGTAAGGGAGAAGCTACTCATGCCATAGAAGACGGTGCTGCACCCATGTATATTCTGGAAACACTAAGGAGACTGTAGGTTAAAAATGGAAGAGAACAAATAAAATTGAGAATGAAAGTGGTGGGAGGGATGGAAGAATTGGAGGGAAAGGAATAGGAATGGGAGTATGTGGGCTTGATCAAAATGTATTACGTGCATGTATAAAGTTCTCAGTCAATAACAAAACAAAATAAACAGATGAAAAAAAATAAGTCAAGGGAATGTGAACAGTGTAAAAGGGCAACATCCTTAAGCTAGAAATGAATTGTCTCCACAAGGAAAACACAGGACTTGACGAATTCACTGTTGAATTCTACCACACTTCCCAAACTATTTCACTAAATATAAAGGGAAGAAACACTAATTTATTCTTAAAAGGTCGTCATATTACCATGATGCCAAAACCACGAAGGACTTAACAACGAAGAAAACTATAACACAACTTCCTTGATGAAAAAAAATTCAAGATTATGCTCTCAAACCAAGTCAACATATTAAAAACACCACAACAAACTATAATCAGGTGAATTTAATTTTTTACATATAAGCATGTTTCCACAGATATCAATCAGTAAATGTAAAGAATATAGATATTCAAGGATTGAGACCCCTGATCACATCAATACATGAAGAAGTGGATTTCAAAGCTCTATGTTCCCTGATGAAAATATCCTGAAATGAGGAAAAGGAAGACATCTCACTGTAAGAGATGTTACACAAGACAAAACTAGAGCCAAGATTATACCAAACAGGAAAACTAAAAGCATCTCTTCAACTATCAGGAGTTACATAAGGTGTCCAACTTCTCTCCACTGCCGAATACATCTCTTACATTCTCAGCTGGAAAATTTAAAAAGAAAAAGGAAAGAGATACAATTGTGTGGCTGCAGTTCAGTGACACACCGCTTGCCTACCACACACAAGCTCCTTGGCTCAACCCTAACACTGAGGAAAGAAAACAGAAGTTAAAATGAAGCCAAATATCTATTTATGGACAATAGAATCATTATTATTATTACCTGGTATGGGTGTTCTGCCTGCCTGTCTGTCTGTGCACCATGTGCATGTCTGGTGCTCAGAGATCAGAAGAGGGTGTTGGATTCCTTTGAACTGGAATTCAGTTGTGAGGTGCCACATAGGTAATCAAGCGTCAGTCCTAGAAGAGGAGCCAGTTCTCTTGACTGCTCCTATGTTCATAAAGTGCCACACCAAGATTCCTTCAACTAATCATTACTTCACCAAAGTAGTACAATAAAGTCAGTATAGAAAAACAAGTAGCCATTTATATGACAATGAAAATGGTGATAAAATAATTTTTTAAAAAATCATCTTAAAAGCCTAAGAGTCAAATTCACCTGTGAATTAACTTAGTCAAGCTGTACATAGTAACAATTTAAAAACACTAAAGAATTGAAGGCTCTAGAAAATGGAAAGCATTCCTATGCTCACAAATCACCACCATAATATGAAAAAGTATTAAGTGTTCAGACTCCACACATGCCCCCTCAAAATTCAATGTCATTAGTTCCAGAAATAGAAAACACAATCCTGTAACTTTAAGAAAACCAAAATTAATTCCCATTATATAACTTACAAACAGACACACAGAGCAATGGAAGGGTACAATCTCAGAATAACCATGTAGCCACACCTGATTTCTGAAGGTATCCAAATTATGCATAGGATAATAAATGGCTTCAACAGGAAATCAACATTGTAGGTACAAGAATATCACTAAATCCCTCTATCATTCTGTATAAAAGCAAGACAAACTGAATTGTTAACATAAGGCCTACAAAACTTGAAACTCAGAGGAAAATCTACAGAATACATGAAGCTATAGGCTTGGACAATGGCATTCTCAATCTAATAGTTTACAGGAAGCATGACAAATAGGGAATGGACATTAGAGGCTCAGGACTACAATGTTAACATCCAGAAAAACAGAGGAAGGAAGAGAGCTGTAAATTAGATGCTAGCCTCATGTATGCAGTAAATTCCTGGCCAGTCAGGCCTACAAAGAAATAACTCATGTTAAAAACAAAACAAACAAACAAAATCCCCCAAAGTATAAATGAGAATTAGTAGCTGCAATAAGTTAAAAAGCTTTTATAAAGAAAAAGGAAACAATTGACGGAGAAAGCCATAGAGTGGGGTAAAATATCTTTGGACTCTCACTCATCTGACAAGGGATTAACATACAGACAACACACACACACACACACACACACACACACACAGAGCAAGCTTAAAAGCAACTTAAGATAAACGAAACATGAGAAAACCAGTATACAGCAACAAAAATTATAAATGAATAAGTAACTGAATCAACACAAGTGGAAACAATCCATTCTCAAACAATATAAAAATAGACAATAAATACGTGAAAAATTCTCAATACAATTAACTTTATTACCGCAGTATGAATAGCTATCAAGAAACCAAACTAAAATGCAAATTGGTGAGAATGTACGGCTGCTCCTGGAAATGGGTATTAGCATGGTCACACTGGAAAATAAAAGTTTCACCAAAAATGAAAATATACTATCTTATGATCTTGCTGTAGTATTGTTTAGTATACAACAAAAGGAATCTAAATCAGATTATACTAGAAATACTTGTACTCATGTTCCTACTCAACTCACTGCACTCAACTACAGAATCAGCCTAAGTGCCCATCTCAGCCTAAGTGCCCATCAATAGATAAACTAAAAATTTTCAATTTTTAATGTAGTATATATAAAGCACAGACTATTGTAGGTCACCAAGAACTGTTATTAGCAGGAAAATGGATGGAACAGGAGATTGATATGTAAGTGACAACTCAGTCCCAAATGGTGTTCCTTCTATACAGAACAGGATCTAGATTTTAACAAACTAGAGAGATGAAGTCCTAAGTGAGTCTATTTGGGAGAACAGGACCACTGGGGAGAAGAAACAGGAACAAAGATCAGTTAGTGATTATGGTTAAAGTACATGGAAACCTGGGTTACAATGTAATTTGAAAACCTGTAACTTTGCTAATGTACAATTTAAAAAACATTTAAATAAAAAAATTATATACAAAGAAAAAAACAAAGCCCCTTTCTCCAACTTAAGGAAAATATAAGTGTGGCCAAAATTGTTGCTGTAGACTAGCCTAAGGTGTGATGACCACTAGGTTGAGTGTAAAGTGCTTTTCTTATATTCCCACTTTACTTTATCATAATGTAATGTTATGGAAACTCTAGGCATACCTATATATGTGGTCAACTGCATCCATCATATTACAGTAAATATTAGTGTTTATATAGAAACTAAGAAATACAAAATGATTCAGAACACTACTCCTCACACAGCAAGGCACATCTTCTGCCACTGAAGGACATGTCCCAAGCCTCCACCAGTGAGCAATGTTCCTTAATGACCATGACAGAAAGGCATTCTAAAAGGACACAGGTTGAAAACCTGTGAAACATTCTGATTCATGAAATAGGAAAGTACCTCCTACTCACTGGCAGACTAGCACATCTCATGAATTCCATCTCCCTTAATCCAACACTCAGTCTTCTGGGTAATAACTGTTGTGACTACAAGAACAGAACTACAGTCACCCCTCAGTGCATCCAACACAGTGACACCAAACTACAGAACCATCCCCGTAAGACCTCCTAAATTAAAACACCAGTTCTCTCAGAAATATAGAAAAATCCTTTAATAGATGACTCACTCACCATGTATATAGTTAGTAAATTTATTGAACACATGGTTTTAGTAAGGCCAATGTAAGATACCAATGTATCTTAGTGTAAGAACTAGAGAAACTGTAATGAAAATGAAAAAACATGAAAAGCAAAATTTACACAGTAAAATTATATAAATACACACATACAATAATAATAGTTCATGACTTAAAATAAATATTAAGCGCAAGTTGACAACAATCTGGCCTACACAGAAAGTTCCAGGCTAGCCATGGCCATGTAGCATGACACCATCTTAAAAAAAAAAAGAAAAAGGAAAAAGAAAAAAATCCCCTAAAAACTAAGTTCCCGCTATCCATCCAGCTCTTGGCAACTGACTGCTCTCAACTTTGGTCAGAGAAGCTTCTTTTTACAATGGACAGCTGTCAATGGAGTGATGCACAACTGGTCAAAAGGCTATGAAGAGACTGAATGTTCACCTCTAAATGAGACAGCTATATTAATCTCCACCATCAGCAAGGCTCAGGGAAAATAAAAAAGCAACAAGAATACAAGAGCCAGAGGGAGGAGTACTGTGAAATGCTGGGTATTTTTGTTTTGTTTTTTGACATGGTTACTATAATCATGAACTCATAGCAAATATGACTGCATGCACAAGACCTACATTGTAAGACTAAGTAAGCCCAAATCCCAGCATATCCCCTACTGAGAAGCTACTGGCAGTGAATAGCTGCTGTGGGGGTGGGGGTAGGCGGGGAAGAGAATTACTTGTGAAGATGTAGGTCACCCATCCTCCAGTAGATGGCCCCATACTCATGCATGTATGAGTAACACTAACTAGACTAGTAGATTATTTTTAAAGACAAAGTTAAGAGGGGAGTGTTTGGAAGAAATAGGGAGGGTTGGAAGGAGAAACAGTGAGTATACATGATTCTCTTTTATTGTATATGTGTATGAAATTCTCAAAAGAAAGAAATAAGCCAACTTGGAAAGACGGTCTGACCTATGATTACAGTATACTTACACCTACTTTCTGAATAGGAAAAACAAAATCAACATTTGCTATTCTAAAAATTATTTTAAAATACTTCAAAGTCAGAACACATACTAAGGATTATGAGAACATATCAGAGAACAACATAAACAATAGAAACAATCAATTTAAAACTGGTTTAGGTCTGAGGGGGTGACTGAGTGGGGAGTCCACTTGCTGTGCAATCATGAGGACTCAAGTTTTATTCCCTATCAATAAAAAGCTGGGAATGACTGAGAGTATCTCTAGAGAGAATATCTTCTGTATTGTACCGGTCAATTAAAAAGCTATGGCCCATGGCAGGAAATAGAAGGTGGGACATCCAGGAAGCAGAAAGGATTCTGGGATACAGCCAAAGGCAGAAGCAGATTTACCCAGGAAGATGTGACTAGACAGCCACATGGTACCTCAGCACAGGTAATCAGCCACATGGCAGAATGTAGGTTAAAATAAATGGGTTAACTTCAGTTATGATCTAGTCAGAAAAGAGCTTAGCAATATGGCTAAGGTACTTGTAGATATATTTTGAGTCCGAGTCTTGTTTCTGGGAACATGGGGCTGGGAGGAAGCGCCACTTAACTTTTACACTGTCTATACTCAGCACTACGGGGAGTAGAGAAATGCTGCTGCTGCTGCTGCTGCTGGTTGCCTGCCCAGCTCCAGGGTCAGTGAGACTCTGACTTGGGGGAATAACACAGTGATAGAGCAAGACACCCAATATATTTGCTCACTTGGTGAACACCACCAACCACACCAGCAACACATAAACAATGCCCCCCAAAACACATGTACACACAATTTTTTTCATGAAAAATGAACATATACACAAAATGCTTATAATCAGCCAAATAAAACCAATAGGACTATTCCAATATTCACAAAGCCATTTTTTTAAAACTACCCATTAAACATAATTGAAAAACAAGACATTTATGCAGGGGCTTGAGGGGGCTCAGCAGTTAAGAGTACTTAACTGTTCTATCATGAAGACTAGGATTTCGATCTCGTGACACATATCAAACATGTCACAAAATTTGTAATGCTATCTCCAAAGCACTCTAGCCTCCATGGGCATATGTTTACATATACTCACATGCGCACACATAAATACTAAAATGCTTTTAAAGATATTTATGTGGACTGGCATACTTCAAATATCAATTCACCAATGAATCCAACATAATTTACAATGAGAAGCATCTACTTATCCAATACAAAAAGATATCACCCATTAAACTAATACATGATTGCTTTAAGAAGTCTCACAAAATGTAATAAATAAATGCACTTTCTATTCCTGTCAGCATTTTTCATATGTAGGTCTTACTGGTCTGCAGTTCATGCATTTAAGCTGCCATTCCACATTACTCAATGCTCTGCTACTGACTGCTTGCTTTTGTAGAGTAAAATTTAAAAACAAGTCAAGAGGTGGACTCTTTAACAGGAGCTAATGATGGTGAATGTGGAAGCAGAGACATTTCATTTTAAATATTCAAAAGGTAGAAGCTGGAAGATTAACAGTTCCGGGTCAAACTGGGATACACAACAAAAGCTTCTCTGGGGAAAAAAAAAAAAACCTAGAAAAATATTTAAGTTTTATTTTTATGCATACAAGTGTATGAGGGAAGAATTGTACCTGGAGTCACATGCAGTTGTGAGCCCTGGGACATGGTGCTGCAAAGTAAATGCTCTTAAAGGTTAACTCAATATCCTTTAGAAGGAGCAGCAGATGCTCTTAAAGGCTAACTCATCCTTATCAGCCCCTGAAAATTTTCAATAAATACAAAATACTGTACTGATAACATTCTCTTCAGAGTGTGCATTTCCTGGAGCATGCTACAAAAATAATAGGTCCAGTCCTTCATAATACTGACAATTATCAGATTAAACATGAAAAAAATTCTAAGGACTTTTATTTGCTACTGCTCTAGATTTTCCAATGTTTCTCAACAGCAAAGGTTTTCATCCGGTATGTGTTTCCATCTGTGCCAAATGAAACCTTGAACATCTCTTTTGAGAAGATTAACACTCCATATCAAGTTTTCTCCTTGTCTGTTCACTGAACCAAATGGTGTTCATATAGGTTTCCACTGATAGGAATTCTCCCCATGTACATTCTTGTGAGTTCTATGAAGCTGATAATGAAGAGTTCACAAATCTTGTTTTTAAGGTTTCTCTACAGTAGGTTCTTTCATTTCTGTAAGAGGATGTGATAACCCAGACTATCCAAGATTGCCTATATATGAAAGGTTTCTCTCCAGTGACTCCTTCCACGTATTCAGAGGGAATGGGGAAGCAGAAAAGGCTTTTTTACAACACCACACACACACATAAAAGTTTCTCTAGTGTGAGTTTTCTCCTGTCTCCTCCAAGATCTAGGATTGCAGAAGGCTTTACTCTACTGCTTAGAGTCAGAGGCCCGTTTCTCTTTGATGTACTTCAAGAAGCTTTAAGCTCAAAAACCATTTGTATGTTGATTTTTTTTTTAAAAAGAAAAAGTTTTCTCCTCATTGTGACATCTCATGTTTCTTTCAATGAAACAAATCAAAAGGTTTTTCCACATTGCTAGCACAAATCCAGTCTTTTCCCAGTATGATTTTTCTTATTTCTATGAAAGCCACAAAGTGAAAAAAAATTTTTTTCTCACATTACTAAAAAACACTGGGATCCAGGGTGGTGTGAAGTAACTCATGTCTATGCAAATGGTTCAAAGTGAAGAAGGGCTTCCCACAGTACTTACAGTTAAAAGGTTCATCGTCAAAGTGCAGCTTTTCATGCACCTGAAGATGACTGTCATAAGGGAAAGTTTCCCCACACTGTTTACACACATGGAGCTTCCCTTCAGTATGAGTTTTTTCATGTCTCTGAAGGGAGTAAGACCACAGGAAGGTTTTCCCACACTGCTTACACTCATAGGGCTTCTCGCCAGTGTGGATTCTCTCGTGTGTCTTCAGTGACCTGGAAGATGTGAAGCTCTTCCCACACTGCTTACACACATAGGAAACTGGGACGGCGTGAAGTGCTTTATGCTTCTGAAACTGACTCCACAGCACAAAGGCATTCCCACATTGCTCACATATGTAAGGTTTTTCATCAATATGCGTTTGTTCATGTTCTAAAAGGTCAGTAGAACTAGCAAAGGCAACCCCACACTGCTTGCATACATAGGGCTTCTCCTCAGTGTGAATTTTGACATGTCTCTGAAGGGAAGCAGACCGAGGAAAAGTTTTCCCACAATGATTACACACGTAGGGCTTCTCACCAGTGTGGGTTATTTTATGTCTTAAAAGTGAATTCAACCGAGTAAAGCTATATCCACACTGGTCACACACATAGGGTCTCTCCCCAGTGTGAATTCTTTCATGTGTTCTCAGGGACCCAGAACAAGTAAAGCTTTTTCCACATAGCTTACAAGCATAGGGTTTCACACCACTGTGAATTATTTCATGTTTTCGTAACTGAATCCAACGCATGAAGGTGTTTCCACACTGCTTACATTCATAAGGTGTTTCTCCAGTATGAATTCTTTCATGTATTCGAAAGGAACGGTAAGTAATGAAGGCTTTACCACATGGTTTACACACGTAAGGTTTCTCTCCCGTGTGAATTCTTGTATGAATTTGAAGAGAACTGTAATGACGTAAGGTTTTCCCACAGTAATTGCACACAAAGAGGTCCCTAACAGAGTGAGTTCTTTTATGTGTTTTAAGGGAACGAGAATGAGCAAAGGTTTTCCCACACTGCAGGCATACATATGGCTTCTCCCCTGTGTGAATTCTTTCATGTGTTTGTAGGTAAGTGGGAAAAGCAAAAGCTTTCCCACACTGCTTACAGATATAGCATTTCTTTGCACGATGACGTCGTTCGTGCCTTCGAAAGTACCTGGAGGAACTAAAACATTTCCCACATTGCTTACACTCAAAGGGCTTTTCTTCAGTGAAAGTCTTTTCAACAGTTTGACCATATCTATAGTCTTCATCACAATGCTCAGTTTTATACAGTCTCTCTAGAGTATAAGTACTTTCATAGTTCTCAAATGATGTGAGAGAACTGGAGGTGGCCCCAAATTCCATATTGTATAATTCCTTCCCATACTCCTGGTCTTCGCACGACTCACGTTTTATGTCAGGTTTTAGGAGTACACTTAGAGACAAGTGGCCAATGACTACTGTTGCGCATCCACTGTTTTCACATATATGTACTCCTGGTAAGGAGTTCTGGTTTACAATACTGTGTGTAGTGAAGTCGAAGATTTCTGCACACTGATGATCATCTTTACAGTCATACAGTCCCTCCACCACTTGACCACTGCAAGGAAGCAAATGTACATCACTAAGATTTTATTAGCTACTTCCCAGTAGAAATGTTGGCTCTATGCTTTCAGATTATTTTAACACATTTCCCTGACTGCTCAGCACCTCTGAGGACAACTGTAACAGAAACTGTGTATTCACAGGTGGCTGTTAGGTCACCTACATGGGTCTAGCGAACATGGCTTATGTAACAGTAAAATACCTATTTCAATTCTCCATGCCATCTAGGCACCTTGGGAAGCCTGCTAAAAGGCAGGATGTGTATCAGCAAGTTATGTCTCAAAGGCTGCTGTGCAAGGCCATTTTTGTTGGCTATAGTAAGCAAAGTCTCTAGAACAAAAGGAGGCATGTAGCTCTTCTTAAAACTAAGGAGTTTATGTGTAAAATGGAAACAAATTCTACTTAGGCAAGAGATGTATTTATGTGTATAAAGCAACCAAACCAAACCTGGAGGGGAAAAAAAAAGAGTAATCTGGGAAGAGGTAATTTAAGTCCACGAAACAGTAGCATACTTCTGCTGAATTCTGAAGAAAACTTGCTACAATGGCTACTGGAAGCTAGGCACGGTAGCGCATGCCTTTAATCTTAGCACTTGGGAGGCAGAGGCAGGTGGATCTCTGAGTTCGAGGCCAGCCTGGTCTACAGAATAAGTCCCAGGACAGTCAAGACTAGACAAATACTGTCTCAAAAAATAAATAAATAAATAAATAAAATAAAAGGAAAGAAAGGTTACTGGATACAGAATCCATGTGATGCTATACCCCTCACAGAACTAAACTAAATACATAAAGGTGGAAGAGCACAGTCATGTTACATTCTAAACTACTGTAAAGGCCACAATGAGATTTTGATATTTAGTCCAAGCCTAAAAAGATACCTTATTTTTGTGTCACATATACTTTATACATAAGGATGTGAATAAATCAATATTTAAAATTTAAGAATACTGTATGGAGCAAAGTTGGTACATATTAAGTATGACAAAGATCACTTTGGGTATAATGATGCTCAAGTTATTTCCACTATTGGAATCCTTGTAACATTTTCAGAATGTTTAATGTTTCCAGTGTTGAAGAAATTTCCTGAGGGTAGTTGAATTTGAAACTGGATGTACCTATATCTTTTACTACTTTATAAAGTGTACAAATACACAACCCTTAAAGAATATGGCTGTCTCTTGAGGTCCATATTACCTTAGTTTTCTCCAGGAATTTCGGTATATATTTTCAATGATATGGTGCTCCAAACTGCTCCCTAAAATACAATCAAAGTAGAATCATTATAAATTATGACATCATAGTAAATATAATTAATAGATTATAGCAAAATTTGCAGTATAAAGTGACTCTCAAGTATTCATTCAAATTTCCTTACCATGTTTAAACTCATGCAGAAGCATGTTTTCTTTGATTAAAGGGATGATGACATATTTACCTATAGAGGCCAGGTTCCTCAAGGTTTCCTGCATCACATCTTTGTAGAGGTTCTTCTGGGATGGATTCAACATAGCCCACTCCTCCAGGGAGAAGTTCACAGCCACATCCTCAAAGGCCACTGACTCCTGAAAGAGCCCATATACATTTCGACAAGAAGTGTGAGTCTCATAGTGCTGGAAATCTAATCTTAATTCATAAGAAGTTAATAAGATACAATGCTCTTTTCGTTAGTCATGTCCTGGTCATCATACTCTTAAGTTTCACACACACTAAGTATCTTTCACACAGTAATTCTGACAGCAGATTGGAGCTATCCAGTAAAGCAACAACAGGATAGGACCATCCTTGTTCCAATATATTGTGCTAATCTCTCCTTGTACATTGGTTCACTGCAACATTTACAGTTAATTCTAATTATCTAATGCACCAAAACACAGTCAACACCAGCTGTCCCAAGACTGCCTCTTCTCACAAATGTAGAAGAACACAATTCTCATTCTCCTGGTATCTGCAACTGCTACTCAGATGGATTCCTCCCCCACCTCAACTGTAAAAGAAGGGAGTAGCTTTCCCAACAGTTGATGTCAATCACATGCTAGTTTTATAGTATCTATTTTCTCTCAGAATCCTTGTAATATTTTAAGTGCTCATCAGATACAAGTTAGAACACAACATATTCAGAGAACAGAGGAATTAGAGAACCAGCATTTATCGTCGGTTTCTGATGAAGAGGCCCAATGTGACCAGGTACCTCAAGTTCCTCCTGCAATGCCTTTCCTGTCGTGATAGTCTGTATCCTTAAACAAAATAGCCTAGCCTTCCTCAAGATATCTTATTAGGCGGACTGTAGAGATGGCTCAATGAGGAACACTTGCTGCTCTTGTGAAGACCAGTATGCTAACTGTTTTACATCAACTTGACACTAGTCAGTCATTTTGGAAGAACTATAAACTCAATAGAAAAAATGCCCCAGGTGCCAGTCATAGTAACACACACCCTTAATCCCAGCACTTGGGAAGCAAAAATAGGTGGATCTCTGTAAATGTGAGGCCAATCTTATTTACATAGTGAGTTTCAGGTCAACTATATAGTATGACACTGTCTTGGAAAAGAAGGAGGAGGAGGAGGAGGAAGAGGAGGAAGAGGAGGAAGAGGAGGAGAAGAAGAAGAAAAGGAGAGGGAGGGAATGCCCCTAACAGATTGCCATATATTTTCTTGATGATGATTGATATGGAAGGGGCCACACTTTGGATGGTGCTACTCCTGAAACTCCTGGAAACTCTAACAAAAAAAAGCCGAGCAAGCCTCGGGGAGCAAGATAGTAAGTAGCACTCCTCCATGGCCTCTGTCATCAATTCCTGTTTCCAGGACCCTGTCCTGTTTGTTGTCTAACTCCCTCTGTGATGGACTATGATGTGGAACTATACTCTGAAATAAATCCTTTCCTTCCCAGGTTGCCTTTGGTTATAGTATTTACCAGAGCAATACAATACAAACTCTCATCACATCACATGACTCACAGACCACCTGTGCCTCCAATTCCAAAGAATCTGATGTCTTCTTCTAGCATCTATGAGCATATTCTCCCCACCTCCTCTTCCCTCCCTCTCTCTCATACACACACACACACACACACACACACACACACACACAAAATGAATCTTAAAAAACAAACAAAATAAAAAACAGAATCACCTAGGATGACACACGCTTCTGGCACACCTGTGAGTGATTATCTAGAACACATTACTTGACTCGGGCACAAACATCTGAAGTGTGGGTAGCAGCAATGCCTGAGAAGGGGATCTTGAACTGTATAGAATGAAGAAAGGTAGCTAAGCACCAGTATTCATTCATTACTTTCTGCTTCCTGTTGTGATAATCAAGGCAGTAGATCCAAGCTCCTGATAGTGTGACTTCCCCACCATGTAACTCAGAATGAATCCTTTTACCAGTTACTTTCATCAGGGTATTTTATCACAACAACCAGGTAAGAAACTAAGACAGAAAACTGGTACCTTACACTGTGGCTGTCTGTGTGATATACATGACCACCTTAGACACTGTTTGTGGGAGGAACATGGAAAAAAACTGGTATTTGGGTTAATGAGCCAGGTTTATGGAACAATGCTGAGAACAGCTGTAATTGATAAAAGTATCAGTGTCACTGGAGGAAAACTTGCACAGTAGAATAAGGTGGCCTGAGGGCAAAGCCAGAGGCTCCAACCTGAGGTGTTGGTGGTAGTTTTGAAGGAATGAAGGATCCAGGACAGGGAGGCCGTACAGAACAGCTGAGGCCAGGCACCATTTGAGAGTTCCTGTAAAGTGACCCTCAGAAGTCACTGTTTGGAGTTCTGAAGGTGAAGCCTAAGTGACCCTGGAGACCACAGGATACTGGAGATGCCAAGACCTTGAGATGTCTCCCAAGAACAGCTACAGGCACTGAGAGGAGCCAGTCCAAGAGATAGACTCTATGTGTTGCAGGTGGCAGAGCTGGAGTTGTGGGGCTACCTACCCTCAGGAATCCAGGCAGTTTCATCAGAGTTAGATATCAGGCACAGAGATGTCGGATTTGGTGTTTGTCTCACTGCATTTGTAGCTTGCTTTGGTCCAATTATAATTGGCTAGGCCCCAATTCTTCTATTTTATGACTGGAATGTCTGCTCTGGGCCGTTCAATATCAGAAGTATATGAGGCTGGAGAGCTGGCTCAGCAGTTAAAAGCACTGGCTGTTCTTCTAGAGGACCAAAGTTCAATTCTTAGCACCCACATGGCAGCTCAGTGTGTAACTCTAGTTCCTGGAGGGATCCTACACCCTCAAACAGACATACATGCAGGCAAAATATCAATGTATATAAAACATATATAAATAAATGTATATATTATAAGCATGTAACTTGTTTTTCATTTTATAGGAGCTCAGTTAAGACACTTTGAAGTTTCCAATTGTTAAACAAGCTTGATGACAATGGAATGTTTCTAGTGTTGGGAAAAATGCATATTACACTATAAGATGGTCATCAGCCTATGGAGATAGACATGGAAAGTTAGGCTTAAAAAGGATGATTAAGAGTCTGGATGTCAAGTTGACAAAGATTGAAACTGTGATGGTTAATGTTAATTATCAACTTCACAGACTCTAGAATCACTCAAGAGACACATTTCCATGTGCACCTAAGAGGGGTTATCTAGACTGAGGCCTTGGAGAATGTCTCTGAGAGATCATGTAGATTACATTAACTGGTATGATTGCTGTAATTATTCACTGTGATTGTGGGTAGGATCATTCCCTAGGTAGAGGATTACGGACTATATAAAATGAAGACCGTGCTCTGCTTCCTGACTATAGATGATATGAACTTGTACTTCATGTGCTTGTTGCCCTGACTTCCCTACCATAGTAGACTGAACTCTAACATGTGAGCCAGAACAAACCCTCTTTCCCTAAACTTGTCAGATTTTTATTTAATCAATACTATAGGAAAAATAACTAGTGAATATAATAAAATCTATTTTACCAAATATAGTAGTCGAAATAAATGTTAACCAGTTATTTCTTATTTAAGAGATAAAAGCCTGCCTAACATAAACAAAACTCACAACACTCACAGCACTAAGGTACCAACACAGACATAGACAGATATACTGCATGCAGGGAATTAGTCTCTCCTCAGCAACTCTACAACAGAACAGCTGTTTACTAGAGACTGCATATCACAGACAAAAAGTCACCTAAGGCAAAGATAAACTGGCACAAACTTGGGAATATGCAGTATATTTTCCTCTACTCCATGGACAATAATCAAATATTCAGTCTTAAAAGTCAGTGAGCATGACTAAAATAATAAACAAAAATTATCCCAGCATTTGGGAAACCGAGGCAGGAAAATTTAAGGTTCATGACTACTCTGGGCTATATATGTTACAAATAAGCCTGAAGCAAGACCTTTGGGACACACACAAAACAACTGCTTCCCTACAACAAACCAAAAAACAAAAACAAAAAGTATAGTAGGCCTGCCAAATGGGTGGATCAGGAGGTAAAGGTGTTTTCTGCATATCTGGCAACCTGAAGTTGACTCCCAGAATCCACATGGTGGAACAAGAAAACACATGTCACAGCACATAACATATACACTCAAAGAGGAAAAAAAAAGTAAATAAAAAAACAAAGAGGGCTGGAGAGATGGCTCAGCGGTTAAGAGCACTGACTGCTCTTCCAAAGGTCCTGAGTTCAAATCCCAGCAACCACATGGTGGCTCACAACCATCCGTAATGAGATTGGATGCCCTCTTCTGGTGTGTCTGAAGACAGCTACAGTATATTCATAAAATAAATAAATAAATCTTTAAAAAAAACAAAAAAAAAACCAAAAAACACCAAAATAAACAAAAAACAACGAAAAACCCAAATGACAAAGTCTATCCAAGCTCAGCAGCAGACAAAGCCTTAGTTAATGATACATAAAAAGAAAATCTTGATTTGCTCTACTACACCATAAATGTAAACTGATTTTTAACTCTTGTTTAAAAATAAGTAAGTTTATTTTGTTCCTATGTCTTATGATACTGAATAAAAATCAATAAATAGAATCCAGCAGGGAGGAAAAAAATGGATATAAATGTTAAACATGTCAAAACAGATATAAATGATGTTGTATTTTTCCTTGCTGTTTTAAATTACACACACACACATAAATAAATAAATAAATAAATAAATAAATAAATAAATAAATAAAATAAATGTTTGGCAGAGGACAGATGGGGAAGAGGGTGTGAGAGAGAGACCTCCAGTACCGTGGTACACCTGTGTGTGGAGTTGAAAGGACAGCTTCCAGGAGTTGGTTCTTTCTTTTCACCATCAGGTCTCAGGGAGTTAATTCAGATGGTTGAGCTTGGTGGCAAATACCTTTACCAACCAAGTCAACTCAGGCCCCAAGGATATATTTTTAGTAAAAATTGTAGTACAAATGTAAAGGCTTTTAATGAGAAATGATTTTAAATTGTGAATGTTTTATTGTATTGTTCTAACTTTAAAAAAAGAAAAAAGAAAAAGGAAAAGGTAAATGAGACAAAGGGAGAGACTACTGGGACCTGGGAGAGAAAGCATGAGGAAGAAACTAGGC